TTCAGCACAGGTGGAATGGTTTGCAGCTTGCATCTCACCAAGTTAATGGTCTGACAAATGAAAAACAGTTCTTTGGAGGAAGACAGCATAATCCAGTCTCCACAACAGCCAACATTCACAATACCCATTATATAATCTAAAAATATTTAATATATTCACAATCAGAAAAACGTGAGAGAAAAAAGAAAAAGTATAATCAACGAGGCCAGTCTCACAACTGACCTGGGTGTGTAGCTATCCAACAAGGTAAGTAAGTATAAAAATATGCTCTTCAGAAACAACAACAAATTTTCCTTTGAAATTTTAAAGAAAGTTTAAATTTTAAAATTCCTAAAAAAGATTGGAAATATTAGCAGAAAAGTTCAAAGTAAGTATTTAAAAGAACCAAATGAGAAATTTAAGATGGACAATATTATACTCTGATTTAAAAAAAACTCTTGGGGTAGGCTTTCATAATATTGGAAAGGGCCTGAAAAAGAAGTCAGTGAAATTAAAACACATCAATAGAAATTATCCTGCATAAAAGAAGAAGATGCACAGAGACTCGGAGACACTGTCAGCAGGGCTAACACAATAGGCCTCCACAATAGAGTCTAAAAGCCTCAGAAAGAGGAGAGGGAGAAAATGTCACAGAAAAATATTTGAGGAAATAATGGCCAAAATCCCAAATTTGTCGCAACACATGCAAATTCAAGAATCTAAGCTAATTCCAAATAGGATAAACACGAAGAAAAGCACCTCATAGTCTAAATGCTGAAAGACAAAAACATGAAAAATCCAGAGGGGGGCCGGAGAAAACCTATCCACGATGTTATCAGAAACCCTGGAGGCCAGAAACAGTGGGACGTCGTTATAATGCTGACACAAAAGAAATACCCATTTAAAGATCATTCTGTTTCCAATGTCATGTAAGTGACCACCCATAACCTAACATTGGTTTTTAAAAACGCCCTTTTCCAGAACACTTTAACAAAAATGAGATGCCCCTTCAGCCATGAGTAGTTTCGTCCCTGTTGTTTCCATTTTCGAGTGAAGACGCGAGTGCAGCTTCAATATGACACACATTGAAACGCAAAACCCCAAATTAACATGATTTAGCTAAGAGGTTAATTACTGCACTTTTCAAACTCATTTTTACAAGTAATTAACCTAAAACCAATTAGCATAAGCAGCCTCACTTCCAAGGTTATCTTCAAAGCAAGTCTGCTTGGTGATTTACAACACAGAAAATGCTTGTAATCTATCTATGTTGATGGTCCTTAGAATTGCCTGTTGTTTCTGTATGGTCATGATGGAATAGCTTTTACCACAGAAGTGGATGTTTCAACAACAGCTTTTCTCCAACCGTGTCAGGGCAGTCTTTCAGGTGAGTCTGTTTTACTTTGTCAGGCCCTTGAACCAGTAATTTCTACCTTCTACAGTTAGCTCAGAATACAGCAGTAAGCTTTTTAGAAATGTGACTAGCTAACAGCTTTGGCAGTTAAGCCATTTTCCAAGAGAACAGGTAAAAAGTAATCCATAACTTCAAAAGGACAGATCATGCGGCTTTTATTGACCATTTACTACTTTCTTGGGCATGGGTAGGATTTTCCTTTCAATACGACTATCACATGCTTAGCCAGCTGAGTACATACTGCAAGGGATTCTATGAAGACTTCGAATATAAAATACAAAAATCTGTTACATACACATTCATTTAACAACAGTTTGTACATCACAATGAGTGCCAAATGTCAAAATAACCCGTGGTTGTCACAAGCAGCATGAAGATGTTGGGGCGGCAGCAGACAGGAGCAGCCGGCTGCAAAGGACACAGTGCGGTGATTACCAGAGCCCAGACCAAGGTCAGAGCCTTTTCTGTCCTTTTTCTTGTTGGCAAGAACACCAGTCAAAGACAGAAAGGGAAATGTACGGAAACTCAGAACAGTTCAGTTTTACTATGCAGGTAAGACTGCAGTCTGCCATATACACTGGGAAATAAGTTACACCCATTTAAGCTCACAGATCTTTATCATTAAAATGGCAATGTGCATTATCTATTGCTTGTCATTTGGATTCCCACCGGCCAAGCCTCAGGTACCTTTTCCACATAGGTGAAAAATTTGTGAAGATGCATCTCATGTGCTGATTCCTGAATCAAGGAATTCAGTAGTCAGACCCTCTAAGTCAGTTGCTTGTATGAAGAGTAGCACTGAACATTTCTAGGGAGAAAATGTGATCTATTCAGGATCTCGAAAACCCCAAAATGCACTGCCATGAGTTGATTCCAACTCACAGAGTCTATAAAACAGGGTAGAGCTGCCGGGGGGTTTCTGAGGCTGTGAATCTTTACAGGAGTAAAAAGCCTTATCTTTCTCCAGAGAAGTGGCTGGTGGTTCGGAACTGCTGGACTTGTGGTTAGCAAGCAGTCCAACAAGTAGCCCACTACTCTACCAGGATTTGGACAATAAAGGACAAAGATATAAGCATACAGGTCCTTTAACCTCTTATGCACCAGTGTCACCAGTGTCATCACAAGCTGTTATGAGCCCCTTTACACTTGTATGCACACATGGACCTCTAACACACACACTGCATTGATAGGCAATGATATATGCTACATGTGCAAATGATTTGGCTGGTCAAAGTGAGGGCACTGAGTGCATTAATCAGAAATGAGCAATAAATGCTCAAATAAATGTTAACTAAACAGCACTAAGGTCCAGGTGTCTTAGCACCACTCAGCACCAAGGGAAATTCCCTATATTAAATAATAAAGTTTCAAAAGCCTAAAATTTGATGAAGTTCAGTATTTGATGTGTGCCAAGAGCACAATTCTTCTCCATATACGTGTGTTTTCTGAACACTCCCGACACTGCATTCTGGCTAAGGACACTATTGTAGCAGGTATTGTAAATGAAGTGAGAGGGCATTGCCGGAAAGGGAAAATACTAACCTGGCCCAAGGACAAGTCCTGTGAGGCCACACGCTGTCTGAAAAATACCCCAAACTAACTTTTTCCCCAAAGCCATTCTCATGAATGTCCACAACAAGAGTCCTTAAAATTCACAAAACCACAAAGAGTACACACACATTTTAGCATCTGTGAAGTGGATGTTTCGTAATAAGCACCTATTACACTTCTTCCTCTGTAAGCCTTCTCCAATCGGAAGCAATACCAAACATAACCAACAGACAGCCAAGTCAAAGAACTATCTACAAGTATTTTTACAAACTTCAGCAGCAACCCAGTGTATCAGAGAAATAATTTAATGGGACTGAGTAGCATGAAAAATGAGAGAGAAATACAGCACACATACAGTATGTATTAGAGTTCATGAATTATTTATTTTTAAAAGATTTTATATTTTCTCTCTCACAAAAAACACGTTTTCTGGGCCATGATGGAAATGAAAAACAACTTTTTAAAATACTAAATGTCACATTTAAAACATTGAAAGTACAACGGTCAACGCAGATGACCACAAATTATATAAGGGGCCAGTGTTGCATGGAAAACAATCTGATACTTTAAAATCCCAAGGTGAGCCACAGCATGTTCATCACCCCCCGACTACTTGGCACCCTGGCACGGGCACGAGCAGGCTGAGAAAGCAGAGAGAAGTCCTCAGAGTATTTCTGTACTTGGAGTGGCACACTCTCAAAACGCTACTTTGAGAAAAGGCATCAGTAAAGGGGAAAAACTGAGTCCAAGGTGGCAAATTAAAATACTTTTCGACCCTCTAGAGCAGTGGTTCTCAACCTTCCTCATGCCATGACCCTTAATACAGTTCATGTTGTGGTGACCCCCCCAACCATAACATTATTTTCGTTGCTACTTCATCACTGTCATTTTGCTACTGTTTTGAATCGGGCAACCCCTGTGAAAGGGTCATTCCACCCCCAAAGGGGTCGAGACCCACAGGTTGAGAACTGCTGCTATAGAGTGATACTAGAAATCAGCATAACAATGGGTAGAAAATGTTAAGTTGGCTTTATCATTTAGATTATACATGATTTAAAGCAAGATAGTCGGCTGTTGTGATTCTTGTTGGTTTTTGTTGGTGGTGGTTGGCGAAATAGGCAACCTGAGATAGACAGAGTAAGAATTTTGTCCTCATTTTTCATCTGCCTGTGAGAGAAGGACCCATCAAAATTATGAGACTGAAGGATCTGGAAGGATGCTGAATAATCATTTTATAAAAATCAATCATCTAAAGACAAAACGATGTCTAGTCTCTGACTTTCAACATCGTCATGGTGCTTCGGTAACCAAAACCAAACCAAACTTCCTGCCGTCGAGTCAATGCCGACTCCCAGGGCCCTCCAGGACGGGGGTCCAACTGGCCCTGTGAGAGTTTCCGAGACTAACTTTCCACGTTCTTTCCCCCACGGAGCAGCTGGTAGGTGTGTGGTTAGCAACCCATCGCAAAGCCACTACACCACCAGGGCACCCTACAGGTCAGTTTGTATTCTCACCTAAGTACACCTCAACTCAGGAGTGTCTTGAGCAGGCCACAGTTAGCACTGAGATGGCAACAGGTTGTAAAAGTAAGTACACTGGTTAGGACAAGAATCTGGGTTCTGGCTTGGCACGGTCTGGAAAAGGAAATGATGCTATCTCAACGCCTATTTCTTTGGGGAATTTAGGATGGGAATCGTGAGAATGGTCACACACTGAAGAATGAAGCCAATTTCACTGGACACCTTACGTAGGAATTGCCGAATGGGAACCTAAACTGTTTTGCAAAACCTTCACTAAAAACCTGTTATTTTAAAAATAACAAAGAGTTTCAACGAAGTGATTTATAGGGACCCTTAGATGCAGTTCTAAGACTCCTTTCCAGCTTGCTATGCAACTTTTTCCATTACACGCTTTCATAATATCCCTTTGAAGAGCAACTAGTTCTGCCAGTTTTACTCACACCACTCTCAAACACCCTAGGTACCAGTACCATTAAGCTCACTCAGCCTTGATTCTTTAAAAACATCAAGGAAAATAAAGCTAATAGGGAACAGAATTTAAGGCATTTTTTTTTATTTTAGCCAAGGAATGATGCATGCTACAGATTAATCTTTCTTCCCCACTGTTTCTCAAAGAATGTCACAGTTCAACCCCAATAACATGGCACTTGTTTATCTCTCCCCTGCTAACTCATTCCAGATTCTCAAGTGTTTTCCTCAGTAATGACGCTTTCTCCTGCAGCTCAGGCCTGCTGTCTGTCTCCATGGTGGCTAGTGACTCCATCAGCAGCACTCGGCATTCAGGGGTCAAACTTTCCCACTGGTTTGATGCTGAATGAAAAGAGCAATAGAAAAACAAAGCATCCGTAAAGAACAAGAACAAAATTTAGATTACTCTTATTACTCTCTTCATGTCCTTTATACCCAAAATAGATACAAAGCAATCCTGTGATTAGACACTTCAATATAGAGAAGGAACTTCAGAAAGTTCTTGGAAACATTTCCTTATCTGTCAATTCTAGTTTTGCACAAACTGTGAAGCCCCCTTGTAATACATATACAGTTATCGAAAACTTCATTATAGTATTATCGGTAGTTCATGACCTCCCCCAGGATGGGCTACATCCAAGGAGCTACAAAGGGCCAAGGTGGAACAGGCTGAGTGAACAATGCCAGCTGAACAACGACCTAAAAGGCCTTTTTATAAGATAGACTCAGTTTAAAAAAAAAGGAAAACAAAAACCTTGAATACATTTTATATATGACATTTTATTACACTCTTCCTTAAAAAAAAAAAATCAATGAACTATGTAAATACTGACAATTTTAGAAAATCATAAAGTACATCAGTCCTAAACCTGTGGACAAGACTCTCCACCGTCTACCAAAGTGGCTACAAGCAGGCTATCTCACGTCTTAGTTTCATGTCCTCCTGCACAAGCTTGTGGAAAGAATTCTCTCGTCTTCCCCATCCTTAATCTATGCACTTAAAACAGCAAAAGAGGACAAACTATCAGAGGAAAGAAACCTTTTGAGGGCAGTAGTCCATATACGATATGTAAAGTGCTAGCAGTATGTCTTTTACTATTGACACAAGAGACCAGTGAAAGAAACCTGCTTCTTGATAATTCAACTGCTTCAACTCAGGGACCCTGATAGGACAGAGGTGAACTGTTCTATGGGGATTCTGCAGCTGGTTGGTTTGAACTAATGGCTTTGTATTGAACAGCCCAACATGACACACACACACACACACACACACACACACACACA